TGGATACAACATACATACATACTCTCAGAAAATTATGTATAGCGGATTGCAAGACTAGTTTAATTGTCAATAAATTACTCGTCTTCTATTTCTGTTAATTCTCATACCACAAATCACAGCCATGTAGTCAGTACCCGAGTTCATAGCCGAATCCAACAAGGACATTGACATTAATTTTAAATCCACCTCATTTCCTCGATTTCCAGCTTGCAGTGGGCTTGCAAGGATCATGATCCTTGTAGCCCATGTGGCTACTCCGTACATTCCACCAAAACGGGAAGGGAATGAGAGCTAATTTGGAACACGTACTACTGCAACATGTGCATGCAGAGAGCTAGCCACTTTTAGTAAAAGTACCTCTGTACAAAGCGTTGACTGTTTACTCAAATGGGAATAAGTAACTCTCCCTGTTTCATCTCCGTTACCGTGTCCGTGTCCGCGGACAAACCTGCCAGTAGGAAAGTGCTCGTGCTGATCTGGGATGGTTTTGGTGTCTCTGCTGTCTTTATACTTATTTATAACAATTACATTCGATATTATTAGTCTCCATAATAATATTTACTTAGGATTTTGCCGATCGGCTCGGGAGTACCTCCTGACCTGTAGAGTAAATCATCGCAAACAATGTCCTGGAGATATCCTAAAGCACAAGAACTAACGCGGAATGTTATCATCTAGGCAGTTACCTTTGCATCATTGTAATAGTTTGTGAGTGGTTACATCTCAAAACCCGACAGCATGGGGATCGGGTTTTGCAGGGATGTTTACAAATTATTTCTCGATACTTTATTTCCAAAGTATGGGTAATTGCTACGACATAGATAGAAAATGGAACTCGCCGGAATAAGCCGACTTTCACAACAAAAGGGTGTAAACGAACTAATCTTTGGGAGGCATTTATTTACTCCAGATATTGCAGTCTCAGAGTTATGGGGAAAACTACGGAGTAGATCTACAGAATCATAGCCGATTCTTCCGATTACCCCTTTTTCCTCTTCATTTCCCTATGCGTTTCTGTTGCTATACGGAGAGTTGTATCTTCCGACATGCGAACGGAGCTAAGTCCTTCGCTCTCCGTTCAAGACCACATGGCCAAGACTGTGGGCCTTTGTAGATCACTCAACGGGTGTCGCAGAGTGCTCCCCAGTTTGGAGTCTATCCAGCCTACTTAGGTAGGTTGTTTAGAGAGCATACTAAACTCAATCCAGCTATATACTCTTTTGAGTCTTTCCAGCATACTGGTTACTAGCATGACTTTTAGAATGCTACCTCAGGCTAATTAAGGGACATTACATTGCAGTCAACGAAAGGATCCTTCTGCAGCCAACAACAGTCCTAAACCAATCAGCATAGAATTACTCTGCCTAGATGCGCTCGAGTCTAGATGTCTGGGTGCATAGCCAAGGGCTGAATGATACCTAGGTATGTCGTAGACGATCACCACACGCATGGCATCATGCACACCCGGTGTTCTAGGCATCAGCGCGCATCTGCCTGGTCATGCTTGTTGACGCTGTTGGTTTTGCTGCGATTTCTATTGGCTAGTTGTGTTATCGTTACCCTCGAGACCTTTCTTACTTACTGTATATTGATCGGCCCCTGTTTGAGTGCATTTTCTTTCCGGGAATATCGGCAATTTAGTCCGGAATCTCCGAGACTTTATATTTGACCGCATGGGTTATGAGAAGAAAATATGAGACCACGATGCGAGTCAGGTAGATTCAAAACATCCCGTTCGACCAGTCTGTCCTATCCTGACTGTGTGTCCAAAATCTTTAGCGGGAAATAACTGTATCCTCCAGGGCATCCGGCAAGGGTTATTTTGATCAACACACCTGATTTTCAGCTGTAACAGACTACCAACCAGACTACCATGACTAGTCTCCTTCAATCTCTTTTTCTCTTTCTCCTCTTTTCTCTCTCCTGCAGGCCTAGATCGTCGCTAGATTAGCGTCGCATGGGGCCATGTGGCTGGTAAGTCTGACTCAACTCCGGCACAAGTCCGCCTAGCCGCTGTTGGATCCTGCGTTAATCTACTTGGGCCGTCGATCTCGAAGAATATGTCATGCTGGGGATCCGGCGGGTCGTAGGTTCCGCAGAGGGAGAGAGGCTGTGCGGTTATGGACTTGTTACGTATGTAGTTGGCTACGATGGGGGCTAGCCAGCTCGCAGTCATGACCCATGTGGCTTTTGTGAGGTCTGTGTGTATCTCTTTTGTGATGTTACAGGAACTGGGGGGAGTAGAATGTTAGGCATCAGCGAAGGGTAGTTAGAGGTTGTCCTCTTGTCCGGGTTTGGTGGTTTGGTCCGAAGACGGAGACCCAATCGGTTTGTTTGATGCTCAATCATTTCAAGAGCGATGGGCTTTCCAAGTTCGGGATGCTCTTCAATTCTCTTCGGATTGGATTTTTCGCTCATCCCAAGGTCTCTAGGCCCCTTGAGGGTTGTGAATAACCTCATTTTGCACGGAAAGGACGAATCTTGGAAGGAGGGTTCTTCGCTCTCTATTCTTTCCGAAACAAAAATATCTTGGACGCATCTGATGCGTTCGATGTTGCTTGTTGATTAGCGTGCCTTTCTCTGCCTCATTGTGACTGAGGCTTTTATTCTTGCATCTTCCTCTTGTTTTTTCTCCTCCCCACGCCTTTTGCATTGTGCTGCGATATCTTTCCCATCGGTTGAACCTTTTCTCTTCTTGCATTATGCCTCCGAAAAGGGCTGCAGCGGCAAATGGCCCTCAGGCCCCCAGAAAGGCGGCGAAATGTACTGACAACACTCCTGATGCGCTTGCGGCAAGTCTAGGTGTTCACCCGGAACTTCTCGAATACACCGATCCGGCAGAGACGTGCTGAGGCATCCACTGCTTCAGAATAGCAGTACATGACTGGGACGAAAATAAGTGGGTTCGACCCTGAAGGTGAACTGCATTGGTGATACCGTCACTTCCAAGCGTTGTCGACGATGTTGCCATGCCCACGACAAACGTGAACTCATGCCTATTCCTTAGGGTTTCGGTGCCGTTAAGTCGTGTGATATACTCACTTCGAATGTTCAGTCGCAGCTCTATGAAGGTATCCGGGGCCACGGTTTCGAACTGCACGCATTTAGAGTGGGTACTGGAATTTAGGATTAACGAGGAATCCAAAATCGGAGAAACCGACGATGCTGGACTGGTCCACGATATGTGGAATGTTCAGGTTGCTGCAGTGGCTGTGCGAGCTCTCTGCTCCGGTCTTGATTGTCTGATCAAGTCCCATGGCAGCGCTCACAACTTAGTAGGCAAGCGTGGTGAGTTGAGTTTATCTCATCTTTTGCTCCATTTCGTACACAATTAATTCACTGACTTTTCGAGGGGTTTAGGCAGATAAAGGTAAACCTTCCTACACTCAGTATTGTTCTTCTGAGCGTCATTTCTTGCAAGTCCGCCTCCGCTTGGTCCCCGTGGCGATGGTACTCTGCATCCCAAGCGCATTTAATTCGAGCATTGTTCTCGCCAACACGTTCGTGTTAATATCCATTCTGACTTTGGTCTGCCTTGGTATATTGGGATTCTCTCGTTCAAGGAAACCATCGAGGGTTCGATTCTCAATTTGACCACACCGACGCCAACATCGTCACATGGTATACCACTATGTTGGCTACATTCCCCTTGACCATCCCTGAGCTGTGAGTACAGGTAAGTCGTCTCGTTCTCTTCTCATGTTCTTTTCTTCTTTTTCCTTTTTGGTCATCTCCGTGATTTGTTGCCTCCCTTTATGCTTTCCATGTTGTTTTGCAAGGTTTCTCCATTTACGTGCGGTAAGGCATGGATTTTGGGGATCTTGTTTGATATTGTCTTGTTTGATATTGAGCTCTCATGCTGAATCAACTTGGAGTTTTTTCCTCCGTTTCTTGTTTGTAATAACTTCTCGGTATTCTTCATCATCTCCTTGTTTGTATGAAAACCCAAGTGTAAAAGTGATGTGTGTGACCTATCCCAGGGTTGCAATAACCTCTCGAGGGAGAAGGCCGTATCAAATATATAGTCGACCTTGACCCGTTTATATATATACGAACTAGTGTCAGTAGGCCTAAAGGAAATGAACTAGTTAAGACTTAAGACTATTGGAAGATGACCAATGTAAGTTCCCTGATTGAATAGACACTAACGCACCCAAACACGCCAGATATATCCAAGACAAGATACATATATGGACTCTGGCAGTTCCAGCCTTGACCAACCGAACCACTATTAGTCTAGTCTACAAGGAAATGCCCACAGTTTGATGTGCATATCCATTCTCACATTAAGTACAGCTGATTGATCTCGCCTATTTACAGTCATCCTTGAATCAGACCAAACCGCAGCGGATTGCAGAACGCGAGATGCTCATTATGGGACCGACAGACGAAGACCTGACTGGAAACAGGAAAATAGACCACAAGGGGGAAAAAGTAAAAAGGAACCATGTAAAAGGAATGATCTGCTCATAAAAAGGAAAATGTCGAGCATTGATGAAGCCGAAATAGAAAGAAACGCCTTTTCAAACACGTCTCTATATCCACTGAGACTTCACTATAATTGAACAAGATACAATAATCGGGTCTTCGGCGGAGAAGGCTTGTGATGCGGTTGATTTCCCAATGTAGGCCCTGAGAGGTGATGATCATGAAGTAAGCAGGACAACGCCGTCTTGATATGTAGTCACGGAGCGCATTGGCAAAAAGCAACTCAGAGACAGGGCCGAAGAGACACCAGGTCATCAGCTAGGGACGCCGAGTCGTGTCAAAGCCATATGCCGTTCGGATATCATCACTCCGCTGAATAACCCGACTGAAAAATAATGACAACAGGATAGGGAGGCTCTCATAAAGTAGTTTGATTGAAGCAGAGATGAGGTTGGATTTCGCTAATACCAAGTGGAAAGAAAGAGAAGGAGCATAAATGTTCGACAAATGGGTATTGTTTTAGCGATCGGGGTTCGTCACCTGTATCGTAAGTCAGCTTGGAAACGATTTCATCATATGTTGCGCGTGTTTACCTGCAAGATCCGGCGAGAGAAGTCATGGTCATCATCGATGCTGCCATTGCTTTGGCGGCGCTGAGCCATGTAGTCGCCATCGAACCGAGAATCGGACATCGAGGGTGGGCCAGAGTTACGGCCATAGCCGCCAGTGGCCCCGCCCGCAGCACCGGCCTTGTTCTTCTTGGATCGCCACCAGAAGAACACAGCACCGCAGAGAGCAGCGAATCCAACCACTCCTACCACGACTCCGGCCGCAATTGCGGCAGTATTCTTGCTCTTCGAGGCCTTTGCCTCCATATCTTCGTCAGGGACACTGTTCGCGCTAGCCTCAGGTGTCACGGTCTTTGTCGTTTCACCAGAAGTAGTGGAAGCAGTGGAGGCAGATCCATCGGTTTTCGTCGTAGTCTTGCTGTCCGTACTGCTCTTGGTTGTGGTAGACTCGGAGTCGGAGTCGGAGTACGTGGGAACATCGTCTACCAAGTTTGTGGTATAGACAGAGTAGTAGCCGGGACCACCACCTATTCGAGATTATCGTTAGCAAGTCGATCCTCTGAGATCGATGGATGAGCGATATAGACATACACATGTCATCGGGCCAGCCGCTGCATGACTTGCTGCACTTGTCGTTTGAAACCTTGGCACTGGCTGGTGGTAGCGTATTACCGCAGACACAGTCAGATCCTCCCGTCAAAGCAAATGCCGCGTAGTCTTTGGCACAGTGGTCCAGACACCATCCGGAACTCTGGTACGTCCAGCTCGTTGACTTTCCATATCCAGGAATGCCGGAGTAGCAACCCTGGAGCGTCCCTAATGGTGAGCCACGAGGAAGCACCTGGAAGTCTTCTGCAACTGCCGAGGTGGCTGCCATTACCACACTGGACACCACAAGGGCGCCTTGAGTGTTGAAAAGCATGATGTGTTGGGAAAGTAGGGAAGTCGAGTATCGAAATCAGCGTGGAAAGTAAACACCGCTGGACACAGTCGCAGGGGTGATTGACGAAGGACTGGGGACGGCCTGCGTAACCCTCAAGAACTTCTGTTTGAATGTATGTTGGTAGACGTCGATTGTTCTGAAACTGCCCCCGCGTCGGTTCTGAATTATTCGCTCAGATACTCAGGGGCGCGCCTGACGAGGAAGTCGAGTTTTTGCGGTCGGAAAAGGGAGTGAAAGGAAGGTGATTTCGCGTTGTGTTGATGGGTACCCGGAGTATGTGGTCGAGTAGAGGTTCACCCCCCTAGAATTCGGGAGATTGAGCGACTGTGAACTAAGAAGCAATTCACTTGATAACCCCCAAATAAAGGAAGTAAACGAGCGAAGAAATCGGGTGTCGGGATGTAACGAATGTGTGCGAAGGGGAAGATCAGGAGGAAAGAGAAGTGACGGATAATGGCTCCCTTGGGAAAGGGACTGTTAAGGGGTCTGTGTTCCCGGGAGAAGGTATGAGGTACTTGGAAAATGGGGGAGTGCCCTGGTGCACTCGAGTACCAGGTACCTAGGTACTTTCAGCGCAGGTCTTTCACGGGTGGTTTTAATATTGTTTGCTCCTTGTATGGTACAGTATTCCGTACCAGGTATACAAACAAACAGCCCTCCAATGATACGTGGAGATATCTTTAGGTAATCAGGCACCCGCCCAAGTAAACCAGGGGACCGTGGCGGATCACTTTCCTATTTCGGTCAGACACGGCAGCTGATGGAGCTCTTGGGCATGCCGCTAGTCTTTTTTGGGCGCCAAGCGGTGATGACGAGATTCTCATTGTGTGAAGTTGTCCAATATTCAATATCGAAGTAGTACTCCGTATCGAGTACTCCGTACTTTACTACTCCATACATGGGCTTATGAAAGATCATCCTTGCCACATGAAGAAGACCCTTGATGACGACTTAGTGTTTGACCCCTCAAATTGTACAACTCATAGCACAGTTAACCCTCGGCTAATGGTGCTTTGTTCTGTCTCAATGTCTATTTCCATTGATCCGCTCTGTACTCCGTATACATGACTGGTCAGCATACGCCACGGTCCTTTGTGGCTGACAGTTCATCCTTGGCTGATGGTCGAGGGGAAATTCTGATCTCCATTCGATAGGTTGCAGCCGAATTTTGCCGTTGAAAGGAACAGAAATACCATTTCATCATGGAACGGGTCCATTTCCCAGGCGGAGCCAATTTCAGTACTTACAAGCGCTAACTAAGAACCTCCACATTTGTTACAGGGTGCTCCGTACAACATGAAACGTGAAGGATTTAGTATTGGATTTAACCTTATGTTTTGAGTAGTCGCACCTTATACATATGTACCTACATATGCATGTACGTAGCTAGGTACTCAACATCAGGAGGTATCTCTTCTTCCTCGCTGTTCATACCCCCTTTTCACGTATGATCTAAATTATTTTCCATGGGTAATGAGCGGCCACTCCCGGGACCGTACCTTGGAAATTATGATCTGTATTTCTCCGTACCGTTCCTGTAATAAAACAGGACCCTGCTTCAGCCACAAAAAACGGCGCGTGACTGTGGCTCAAGATCTACAACTCACCTACGATGTGCAAGCTTATAAATGGCACCAGGGCTGTGCTCAATCTCGTAATTTGTTATGTTGTATACCTAGTTATTGTACTCCGCACCTTGAGCTCTTTTAGGCTTATGTGCTTCAAGTTTTTTTTTGTTCGTCCCTTGACTGTATAATAGTATGCGGTATTATTAGCATTGCCTACTACCTATTCTCATACATACAACGTCCCTGGGATATCGGAGGTTATTTAATCCAACCACGTTACCATCATGCGAGAATTACTGACTTTGAGACATCCACGGGCCCTTACTGAACGGAGAGATAAAGTTACTGGTAAATATGCGGCCAAGTGTGCTCCGGATAGCGAATGTATATAGTGTATCTGCTGTACCTTGCAGATCTAGTCCCTTGCAACACATTCTATTGTTATTGCAACTGCTAGACACTTAATATAAGCCTCGTGATGTATGTGGGAATCCAAATCATTTTAGCGGTCAACACAACTGACTGCGCAGGTAAGCATCTCGCCACAGACACCACCGCGTTCGATAATTATAGCCAATTCAATGGCATCAACCCAAATTCCCTTCTAAAGACGTAAACAGGTATAGAGCCCACAGAGCAAACAATAAACTCTCAATGAGGAGCGATCCTTTAACAGTGAGACATATCGCGCATCTGGTCAGGTCCGACATCCGAGTATTGCTAGGCCAGAGCCTCCAAAAAAACAGTATGCACAGGCAATACAGGTCTGTACAGCGTACTCCATACGGAGTACACAGTAATGCGTCAACAAGCACATATGTCTAGACCTGTCCCAGACGGAAAGAGAGATATTCCGGGACCAGTGGCGTCCACTAGACCGGTTGGATTCTCCACCTGCCAAAGGAATCATGTAGAAACACACCCTTACCGGGATACCCAGCTAGAATCAAAACCGAAAGAGAAAAGGCTCTATTCAGTTTGCTTGAATCTTCGTATTTACTCGGGTGTCTCGACAAGAGCGAACACAAGTTCAATTTGTTCAAACTGTGAGTAAGGAGAATCTTCGAATTTGGATATCAAAGTGAAACTTGTGTCTCGGTCTAGACCCTGCGTGCCTAGCCAAGAGTCAACATCATTCTAATTTTAAATGCTAAAAATTCTGATTTCGCCTGTGACCTTCAAGCATTTTATCTGCCATATTCTAGACCATGCGGAAGGGCTTATTACTCGGAAGAGCTCTAGAGAGCGTATTCCGCTTAGTACAACCTGTTTGGACATGTTCGACATATCCTAAGGCCCCGAGGTCGCTGGGTACTTAACTCACCTCAGATTCCATTTCAACATTAAGTACTAAAAATTACACACGCACGCAGGAAAAAGCAAGCATATTATTACTCAAGCTCGAGACATAGTTACGTTAAAGAAGAATGAACTCAATCACATCAAAGAGCCTCAGACCTCAGATATAAGAGTAACTTGCACAAGTCCCCACCAGCCTAGCCGGAACCTGTCGCTGGACACCATCCTGATCCACCTCCTTCTCGTAGAACCAACACCATCCACGAGCACAGACATAATGAATCCCATGTGGCAGCTCCTTCCCAGTCCCCGATATTTGCCTACGAGTGTACTTGCCGCATCGGCAGCGCCGGTTGGCCGGACTTATCCCGCGTCGATCAGCGAAGCAGATGAATCGATCACATGAATAGCATATGTAATATGGGCGGCCCGCATTGCCATTCGGGTTGCTGCTGTTGACTATCCGCCGTATACCGTATTCGTAGCATTTCGGGCACTTCGGGGGCTCGAGTATAGTTATGGTCATCGCTGCAGTCGTGATAGGCTTGGTTCCTATAGTGGCTGGCTTAGATGCGGTCTGGTGGGTTGGTGATAGGGCTCATTGTGTTAACTTGCCTACTTTATTGACTGTATTCAACGATGTTTGTTGTATCGAAGTCCTCGTTGACAGCCCTGGAGACTGTGTGAGATACCTAGCCAAGTGGTCATCATGACGATCTCTATAGGTAAATATTGCGTGTGCATGCGTATATTAACAGATCGAGAGAATATCCGTGCTTCAACTTACAACTACCCAAGAATGAGTTGTACTTCCATGGATGGATAGCTAACACATTGACACTGTAGATTGCAACAACCAGTCACGCCAAATCCTAGGAGCCATACTCTTCAAGGGGAAAAGACTGTTATTTCGCGTAGGTTGTAGTGATGTTTCCCTGTCTGAATAGCCACCTTGTGTCTACTTCATTCCCCTATTGCTCAGCTGGCGACATGTTAACTCACCGCAGATTCTGATTTTTGGACTTCCGATTTCCTATGCTCCTGCTAAAAAAGCAACTTTCAGACGCAGCCAGAGATGAAGAGTTGCCTGCGGATTCTGGACCTACAAGAAGAATACGAAGACAAAAAGACTTTTTAACTCGTGAGAAGCACCAGGGTTTATAGACCCGGTTAACAAAATGAAAGCAAAGACAATGGAGGCATACAAGGGTATCATGGAACTATATGGCAATCGCACCGCTTGTGTATTTGTTCGAAACCCGAGATTGACAACAATGGGCAGACATCTTCAGCATGTTGACCTTATTAGCCACAATCATGCAATCCAACCCCTATGCAGAAGTCACAATGACTATAATCAATCTATGCAATTGAAATTCAATTAAGAATCCTTATTTAAGTGCATCGAGATCATGCTATGCCTTGCCTAAAGACAAAGGCCCTCTCGATATTTATTTTCAGTCGTCCAAGTTGAGAGAGACAACAGACTCAGGCATTTCCTTTTCCAACAGTAAATGCGCGGCCAAATTTGGGTTGAGCTCATGGCTTAGGAATATGTATCGTCTTGCTGACCATCATACATCCATGGAGAACGAACATCAGGACAACAGGGTGGAATTCGAAAATGGTACCTTCTGCGACGAGGCCAAGAGGGATATTCTCGTGCGTCCAGCTCTGAGAGACCCAGTAGGCCATAATGGAAGCGATCGACAGAGTGGTCGGAATGGGTGTGCCTTCGAAGTACTTTGATTTGCCAGTCTTGTCCTTGGGCAGTACGGCCACAGTCACGTTGAATCGAGCGAGGCGGGTCAGACCGCAGAGAACGAAGAAACTGAGGAAGACGTGATCAAGCGAGGTCCGGATACCAAGAGCGAATGCAGCAGCGGCGGGAGCGAGACCGAAGGAGATCTAGGGAACATGGGTGTTAGCGACAACTTGGTTGTAGTTACACCCGGGATAAAATTTACGAGGTCAGCTAGCGAATCAAGCTCTTGCCCCATTAAAGAGGATTTCTTACGCCAACGTGCGACTTTGCCATCCATAAAGTCGAAGAAAAGACCGAAAGGCATGAATGCGAGGGCAGCCCAGATGGCACCGTATTCGGTTGGGTCTCCGAGGCAGTAGCGCATGGACGAAAAGACCGACATGACTGCTCAACATATTAGTCGTGAATTGGAAAAAGGTTGGGAAATATGATCTTGCCTCCACAGAAACCTAAGATAAGAAGTTAGCGAGTCAATTCAGAACCTTCAAGGTATTGCGATCCCTTACCATTCATTTCAGTAATCAGATCAGCAAGATGCATGGCCCTGTTGAGTGTTAGGCTGAACCGAGAGCAAGGGAGCGCAGGAAGCACGAGACTGACTTCACCATGCTGAAATGACCATGATCAGAGGATAGTAGCATTTTCTGCTTCTCCTGGCCTGTAAAGTGTAAGCTCTATTGCCCGTGAACGACCAGAGGGAGCCCCAACGCACCTCCATCGCTCGAAGGTGGGACACCGCTGGAGGAATCGCTCGATGCCATGGTCGATGTCCGACGAGACATGCTCAAATGAATATCAGATTCGAAGAAAATTTATGGCAGAAGGATAGTCTGTCACAATAAAATATCTAAAGGGCAAGATTGGGTAAGAAGAATAAAAATGCTGTCAATCCTGCTGCTTGGGAGTGTTGACGGACGCACAGATTCGCTGAGCGGTCAACGTCATTTCAACTGCAGGCAGGCAGAGGCGGTGCAGCTGCGCCACATTCACTAGCCACATCCCAACCAAATGCCCGAGCCGATTATCCCCGAACTTCTACACAAGCTGCTATAGTTTAATATGCAATTGCATGCTTTGGAGAAATACGAAAATAAAGAAACATTTTTGACTGGTGATATTCTACAGCCTGCAGCCAGTGAAGTTGCAATTGCGCAGATGCACAAGAAGACGGAAAGATATTCCTGAAAGAGCTCCCAGATCCCCCAAAACGCCATAAAGAGACAGTACATTGGATCGATCAGTAGCCGCGACCGCGGAAGCCACCGCCACCACGAGGGGCACCCCGACCACGAGAGAAGCCACCGCCGCCGCCGCCGCCGCCGCGGGAGAAACCACCACCACGACCACCACCGAAGCCACCACGGCCACGGGGAGCACCACCACGGCCACCGCGCCCACGGGCAGCACCGAATCCACCACGGCCACGGGGAGCACCGCCACCGGCGCGCTTGGGCTTAGCAGCTCCTGGAGGAGGCTTGGGCTTGGGGAGGAACCTAAGAGGTGAGTTAGTCAGACCTAGAAGAATGAGTAGAACAGCGAATCGTACTTCTCGAGAGGGAGCAGCTTATCTCCGCCGATGTAGACCTTGTCACCAGCCTTGAAGGAAGTTGCGACAATACCGTCCTGGGGCTTCACAGTGAAGTAGACCTGGTTGATGGGACCGAGAATTTCGTCGACCTTGCCGATTTGAGTCTATAAAAAACCAGTTAGGTCATGAACTTGTGTAAGATATTGATTGGTGGAGTAGTGGTCTACCTTGTTCTCCAGGTAGATAGGAGCGTTGAAGTAAGGAATCTTGGGGTTGACTGATTCGCAGACCATCTCACCCTCGCAAGAGTGCATCACGGAACCCAACTCTGTCGGCACATCAGCGACAAGAATCAATTATAGTCAGTTTCAGAAGAATAATTACCCAGAACCTGCGCTGGTGGGCCGAATGACTGCTGGAAGCCTCCGCGACCTGCAACCAAAAAAATTTCGTTAGCTTCTTTTGAACTGCTCGCATCGCATTCACGTTGGAAAATTCTCACCACCACGGCCACCACCGAAACCTCCCCGGTTGGCACCAGAAGCGTTACCACGACCACGGAAAGACATTTTGTGGTGATAAGGGTGATTGACTTGTACAAAGCTGGAGAAGTTTTCGCTTGGTGGAAACTCGAAGCGGTAAAGTGTCGGCTAAGGGCAGTACCAGCACGTGATATATGTTTCACCGCCCTCACGAAGACTCAATTTTCCCCTCCACTGAGTGTATATGATCAAAGTTCCTACTCACAGTTTGATTCCCTTACGCTATTACTCTAAGGTTTTAAAGATGGCATCTGAAACCCCCTAGGAGATCCCCGTCCGGCCCGCTACTGAAGCGTGGGCCAAAAACGCCTCTGAAGCTGCCGCTGCTCCTCTAAAAGATACGAATGCGAAATCCAAGCAGGCCCCGAGCCCCGATACCCTCCCCAAAGTCATGATCGAGCCAAACAAGCTCTTCAAGGGACTCTGGCAACAATATCTGGAGGAGACCAAGACCCGTCCCCACCCAGAGATCAACGTTACCCTTGACATTGGCAATGGCAACCCCCCAACATATATGATGTTAGCATCTGGCAGACCTCGGGACACTAGGCCCACTATAAGGATGATATGTTCAAGTTGGATGTCGAGAAGCGCGAGTACGGACTGAAGCGTATGAACTGCCCCAGACACTTCCTTCTATTCGGCCACCGTGAACGTAGTTACCGCGAACTGCCTAGGCGTATTGCAGACTTCGGTGTCCTACACCGAAATGAGGCTTCGGGTGCCCTAATTGGTCTTACTCGCCTGAGGAAATTTAGCTAAGACGATAGTCATCTAATCGTTAAGAGAAATTCAGATTATATCTGAGGTTGAGGGTCTATTCGCTTTCTTATAGTCTATCTATAGGCTGTTTGGCTTCACTTTCAAGTTGAAGCTGTCCACCCGCCCCGAGAAGTATATAGGTGCGTTGGAGACCTGGGACCACGCCGAGGACCAGCTTAAGAAGGCCTTGACCAAGTTTATAGGTAATGATTGGACTATTAACGAGGGTGACGGTGCCTTCTACGGACCTAAGATCGACATCACTATTGCTGATGCTCTCTAGCGTGAATTCTAGTGCGCCACCATTTAGCTCGATTACTAGGCACCGATCATCTTCAAAATAGCGTATATGACTAAGGAGCAAAGCCAGACGATTTCGGAGCAGCCTAAGGAGGGTGAGACCAAGAGCGACGAGCTTACCCCCGGCCGTGCCCGTCCTATTGGCATCCACCGTGCTATCATCGGCAGTTTCGAGTCATTCCTAGGTGTCTTGACCGAGCGCTTTGGTGGCAAGTGGGCCTTCTGGATCAGCCCTCGCCAGATCCTCATTGCTCCGGTTATGCCTGCCGTGAACGACTACGTCGAGGAGCTACAGAAGATCTTACAGGGTGACAAGCTGAATGTCGATATTGATATTAGTGGTAACACTATGCAGAAGAAGATCCGTACCGGCCAGCTGGCTTAGTACAAATTCATCTTCGTTGTCGGCGCCTCGGAGCATGAAACGAAATGTGTCAACGTCCGCAATCGCGATGATCCTGCCACTCAGAAGTAGGGCGTGATGGTGCCCCTTGAGGAGGTACGTGTTACGCACTGCAAACTGGTCACAGTTAGGGTTAGTAGATCACGGGTTATACTCACAGGGGATCTCTGATCTTCCAACGTCAACGATCTGTCTCTCAACCGTACTGTTGCCAACAGGCCTTACTGC